CCAGAGCTGCCTTCTGCTGTGTGCCCTGATTACCCTGCCTGCCAGAGCTGCCCATTGCCTGCCTTACCTGTGCCTCTGCTGTGTGCCCTGATTACCCTGCCTGCCAAGCTTACCCCTGCCTGCCAATTGCTGTGTGCCCTGATTACCCTGCCTGCCAGAGCTGCCTTCTGCTGTGTGCCCTGATTACCCTGCCTGCCAGAGCTGCCTTCTGCTGTGTGCCCTGATTACCCTTGCCAGAGCTACCTGAACCCTGCCTGCCAGAGCTGCCTTCTGCTGTGTGCCCGATTACCCATTGCCTGCCTGAACTGCCTTCCCCTGCTGTGTGCCCGGACTTACCCATTGCCTGCCTGAACTGTCCTCTGCTGTGTGCCCAATTACCCATTGCCTGCCTGAACTGCCCTCTGCTGTTTGCCCGGACTTACCCAAACTGTCCTCTGCTGTGTGCCCAGAATTACCAATTGCCTGCCTAAACTGCCCTCTGCTGTGTGCCCGGAGTTACCCATTGCCTACCTGAACTGCCCCCTGCTGTGTGCCCGGAGTTACCCATTGCCTACCTGAACTGCCCCCTGCTGTGTGCCCGGACTTACCCATTGCATGCCTGAACTGTCCTCTGCTGTGTGCCCAGAATTACCCATTGCCTGCCTAAACTGCCCTCTGGTGTGTGCCCGGAGTTCCCCATTGCCTACCTGAACTGCCCCCTGCTGTGTGCCCGGACTTACCCATTGCCTACTTGAAATGCCATCTGCTGTGTGCCTGGATTTACCCATTGCCTGCCTGAACTGCCCCTCTGCTGTGTGCCCCGGACTTAGCCCTTGGTATACCGATCAAGTGCCCCTCAAATCACTCAATAAAAGCCTTGTGTGCCACTGCTCTCTTCGTGTGTTCTGTCCCACCCACACCTCCGTCACAATCTGTCTCTCTAGTAATGTTCTATTTGGTATTTTGTCCTGTATTGACATCAATCAGCCATGAAATATAAACACTACCAGAGCTCCACCTCCAAAGATCACTCCCCATAGTCCTCTGGTCTGGGCCCTGTAAATTCATTCTTCTTAGCCCTCACAGAAGTAAGTGGAGGGGACTTGCAGGGTAATTGAACAGCAGTAGGCTTACCAGAGTGAAACTATTATTTACCCTGTGATGTATAGGTTCCTTAACCTTTTTGTAATGTGAACCATGTACCCAATGTTTGCATCCTTTCACTTTAACCACACTTGAGGAGACAAAGATAATAAGGAATGGACCTTTCTACTTCGGAGACAGTGCCATCTTTGGAGTATAGTTCTTTATGTATATCCAATCTCCTGGTTTTAGTCCATGAATCTGTTCAGCGGTCTTGTTTGGTTGAACTGCTTTTACTCTGGAAAAGGTTTCAGAAAACACATTTGCCTCCTAGATTGTAAGCTCGAAAGATCAGGGCCCTTGAACCCCTCATGTATTGTTTTGTTACTGTATTGTCTCATGTACTGTCCCCCACTATAATATACAGCGCTGAGCAAACCTTTTGGCGCTATATAAATACTGTATAATAATAATATGGTCACATAGTCTATCACACTATCTTGCCCGGTCATACAGTTTTCCGGTATGGACGATTGAAATGGGGATCTCCCAGAGTTTTAAATGGAGATAGCCCATGTTTTTCTTTTAAGGTAGTTTGCATAGCAGCAAGAGCCACTAGCTACATTTCAAGCCAAGTTCCCATTCCATTTGCTGTTAGTTTGACTGGTATCTCTTTAGTTAGGTTTGATTGGCTCGCTCAACCATAGCACTTGCTTGGGGTCTGTACGGAGTGTTTAACTGTTGTTTCAGTCCTAATGTTTGTGTTACCTCTGTCACTAATCTATTCTCAAAGTGTGTACCTCTGTGGAGACAATGTGTCCCACCCTAAATCTGGGTATAAGCTCCCTAGTCAGACATTTCACTACTGTTCTAGCATCATTTCTTACAGTTGGATAAGCTTCCATCCATCCAGAGAATTGGTCAACAAACACCAAGAGGTATATGAATCTTCCACATAACAGCATTTCAGAAAAGTCAATTTGCAAAATCTGAAAAGGAACACTTGTATATGGAAGATGCTTAGTTGCAGTATGTACCGTTTTTCCTATGTTGTGTTCTTGGTATATAGCACATTGTTCTTCTTGCCTACTGGCAAATTTCCTAAATCCTGGGGCTCACCAACACTGATTAACCCCTCTTGCCATCCCTCCTGTTGAGACATGGTAAGGCCCATGATTCAAAAGAAAGAGAGAGTGGAATAGAGCGTTGGGGCAATAGGTTTCTCATTCATTGTCCAAACACCTGTGGGTGAGCATATCGCTCCTCTAATTACCCAAGTGGATTTTTTGGGAGATGAGTTCTGTAAGACAATAAGAATAGTGTTATCCACGATTGGTTCAGCTGGTAAATTAAGATGCAGAACCGTTGCCTCCACTATTACCTTTTTAGCAATCTCATCTGCCAATGCATTGCCTTAGGATACTGAATCCTCGCCATTTGTGTGTGCATTACATTAGACCATTGCTGGTTTCGTAGGCAACTGCACTCCATCAAGTAATCTGACAATTAGGTCCTTATGCTGTATGGGTGAACCTGATTTTGTTATTAATCCCTGTTCTTTCCATAATTGAGCAAAATGGTGGACCACCCCCACAGCATAAGCCAAATCACTGTAAATGTTAACTGTCTCAACTGTAGAGATTTCTAATGCTACACACAGAGCTGTCAATTTATTTAATATAGGTAGTTATATAGCGCCATCAATCTACGCAGCACTTTACATATATGTATATAGTATATTCACATCAGTCCCTAACCCTCAAGGGGTGTACAATCTAAGGTCCCTAACTTGCATTCATACATACACATACTAGGGCCAATTTAGACAGGATCCAATTAACCTACCAACATGTCTTTGGAGTGTGGGAGGAAACTGGAATACCCAGAGGAAGCCAAACGCAGGCACAGGGAGAACATGCAAACTCCAGGCAAGTGGTGCCGTGGTTGGAATTTGAACCAATAACCCTAGTACTGCCAGGTAGAAGTGCTAACCATTTAGCCACTGTTCTGCCAATTCTGCAGCTTGTGCTGATTTATATTCATCAAGTGTGGATGCTCAGAGCAGCTTACCCTCACCACTGACCACTGCATAACCTTCCAGAGTTACTACATCCGCTCTTCGTAAGGAAGAACCATCAACAAATAGTTGAGCAACTAAGGGAAACTCTGGAATTGGAGTAGTATCCAGTATTCAGTGCCCACGATCCCAATACACCTCGGTGTGCAATGCTCGCTCACCTTAATTATTGACCTACAAACATTAGGCCACTCACGCTTTGTTAGAAGGTTATTGCAGTTCCACTTCCAGGTATTAGCAGCTACTTCCAACCAGGGGTGGGCAGCATGGAACCTAAATACACCACTGCTTCCAACATGGGGTCTCTTTAAGAGACCAGACACCTCTGCCTCCAGTGTGAATGTAGATCAGGAGAAGGGAAGATAATTCATAATGCAACTTCATATATGCCATTAGAAACATTTATTGCTCTATAACAGCAATGGGCAAACGACGGCCAGCGGGCCGTATACGGCCTGGCGGACCTTTTAATCCGGCCCGCGGAGCTAGGCTCCTCTCACAGTCCGCCCGAAGACCGGTGTAGCATGAAAATCTGTCTCCTATGAGGATCTGTCCCCCTCGACGTATCTGCGCATGTGCCGGAGATCGCCGATCGGCTGCTAATGCCTGAAACTGGCACATGCGCAGATACGTCGAGGGGGACAGATCCTCATAGGAGACAGATTTTCATGCTACACCGGAACGGCGCGGGAACACGGCGAGAGGAACGCGCGGAGCAAAGGTACGTGAATTGACACAGGGGGGACTTGGGGGCTTAATATGGGGGATGAATTAATATGGGGAATGAATTAATATGGGGAATGAATTACTATAGGGGGGGATGAATTACTATATGGGGGATGAATTACTATGGGGGATGAATTACTATATGGGGATGATTACTATGGGGGATGAATTACTATATGGGATGAATTACTATATGGGGGATGAATTACTATGGGGGATGAATTACTATATGGGGGATTAATTACTATGCTTACTATGGGGGAATATTACTATACTTACTATGGATGACACATACACATCATTCATCTACTCTTGGTCCAGCCCCCGGGTCCAATATATGAACCCATTGCGGTCCTCAAGTCAAAAAGTTTGCCCACCCCTGCTCTATAATATGCACTTACAAGGAAAAAACAATTAAGAACAGTATTCACATTACAAAAATGGAGACTCACACCACACTTCCAGTTTCCACATCAACCGGAAGTGACATCACTGGCTCTGCTCAGCTTGTTGTGTCACTGTTCAAGTGACTTCCTCAGGGTCAAAGACCCTGATATACTTGTGTAATTTAGGTATATATGTTTGTGTAATTTTTTTAGACTTAAATAGTAACTCCACTTTTGTTGAGAAAAAACATTCCCCTCTGGGTGATCTATGTACATTATGAGGACTTTAACAAACTTTATTGCAAATTCTTATCTTTTGTTATTTTGAAGAATTATCTGTTTTGTTTGTCTGTGTCATTGTGCAAAATGAACGTGAATCGGAATGATTTTATAATTATCAATCAGCTGCATCCGTTTTTTACATGATTTCCCTTTAAGAATATTTCACCAAAAATGACATTTGATTTATATCTTAGTGCAGACTTCTGGGAAAATAAGTGAGCCAATCACATAGGCAAGAAATTACATTTCTGGGGAAGTTCTGTACATCTGTGTACAGAATGCCTCCAGGTTGCCATACTGCATTGAATTCTACAGAAAATTTCTGCTGCAGATTGAAAAGGAAAGGTAATTTTTAATAATATTAACTTACATTTTTTGACTTGTAATTGTATATGCTCTAGTATTTTTTTTTATTTGCTATTTTCTTTCCACAAAAGTGGAGTTACTCTTTAAATAAGGTATAATTAAAGTGTTACTAAACCCACAACAGTAAAATCAGTCTGTATATGCAGTAAAGCATGCTTGTTATACTCACTGTGGAACTTAAGGGGTTAATCCTCTGCATTGTGTAAAACCGCTTTTTGATCCTGTCTTCTCCGATCCTCCCCTTCTTCCAGTGCCCCCCTCTTATCTCCTGATAAGACATATCATGTGGAGTCAATCTGCACATGCTCAGGTAGTGTATATTGGTAGAGAGATTATTTTTGTTCTTGGGAGGGTGCATGTGATCAGCACAGGGCCAATCAGATCTGTCCAGACAGAGGTCAGGTGTTCTGCATCCTCCTAGAGCAAAATAAAAACTCCTCCTACAAACTTTAACCAGTGCTCAGCTTGACACTGATAGACGTCACAAGATTGCTCTAACTGCTGATGAAAAAAGGTATTTAGCAGTTTATATTTACTAAAATAATTGCACTTCCATGCTGTGTGTACTGTGGAGACCAGATATAGTGAATACAGGTTCCAGGCTTTAATTACTTTTGCTTGTCTGATATGTATAATTAATTTGAATAATAAGTACTGCTGTTTGCAGGAGAGATGCTGGAGAGCTAAATTACAGTCCTTGGAAAAGTTTGTTAACACAGCTAATCAGAACAATTTGTCAAGGATGGGATGGCAACCCAAAATATTCAATTGCCTTCCTACTGCGTTGGAAATTTAAATTTTCAAGGCTTTTGCCCTCATCTTGTGAGAGGCATTTATCTGCCATTTTGATTCAAATTTATATCCTTAAGGTGTTACTAAAAGCAGATATTTTTTTAAAATTAAAATAACAAACATGTTACACTCACCTGCTCTGTGCAGTGTTATTGCACAGAGCGGCCCTGATCTTTCTCTTTTTGTGTCCCCTGCCAGTGATCTTGGCTCCTTCTCTTCTTAGTATGCCCCATACACACACTGGGACACGCTGAATGCGTGCTCCCGACCTGTGTGTCTGCAGAGCCAAACTCCATAGACACACACAGCAGGACTTAGCCCTGCCCCCGCCCCACTTCCTCTTCACTGCATTTTATTGACAGCAGCAAGAGCCAATGGCTCCTGAGGGAGAAGTGAGGGGAGAAGAGATGCAGCTGATCTCCTCTCCCCACTCTTCCCCTTCACACAGGGAAGGGGGAGCACAGGGAAACTAAAAACATTTTTTACCTTAATGCAAACAATGCATTAAGGTAAAAAACATTTTAAGTTTAGTATCACTTTAACTAAATAGAGTACATATATTGTTGCCCACTGCTTAAAGTGGTTGTAAAGGAACTTAACTACTTGTCCTCCAGAGGATTTACCCCCCCCCCCCCACCAGACCAGGCCATTTTTGTCGATACGGCGCTGTGTTACTTTAACTGACAATTGTGCAGTCATGAAACGTTTTACATAAATGAAATTTATGTACTTTTTTTCCCCACAAATAGAGCTTTCTTTCAGTGATATTTGATCAACTGTGCGGTTTTTAATTTTTGGTGCTATAAACAAAAAAAGACCAACAAGTTTGAAAAATAAAAAAACAATTTTTTATACTTTTTTCTATTAAATATGTCCAGTAAAAAATCAAATTCCGTCACAAACGTAGGCCAAAATGTATTCTGCTACATGTCTTTGCTGAAAAAAAAAATCCCAATACGTGAAAGTTATAGCATCTACAAATGGCGGTATATATACTGGAATTTTTATTTCTGTTTTTTTTTCACTAGTAATGGCGGCGATCAGCGACTTATTGCGGGACTGCAGGACTGTGGTGGGTATTCTGACACTGGGTAGGAACTGACTAACTGCCACTGACATCCCCAGTGACACTAATACAGTGATCTAATGACATTGGGCAGGAAGCAAGTGGTAACTATTTGTCCAGTAAAAGAACAAGTAGTACTGGATAACATAGGGAAAATGCAGGAATGGTGACTCACCATGTTCCCTGGACTCCCTCTGAGATGAAGGGATTTTCAACTACCATCTCTCATCCCAGAATAGATCCGATGAAATTTGCAAAAGAATCTCTGAATATTCAGGCCTGTTACAATGACAACTGGGGTGACATGATTCAAATAATTAAAAGGGTCTGTGGAGAAGGAGATTTTGGGTGGCCCCAGGGATTATAACCATTGCTGAACAATTTTGTCAAGGCTTTGAAACATGTCAAATACCTAACCCTGGGAGACATGTAAAAACCCCTGACAAGCACTTGTCAAAGGTCCTTTACCCTTTCAAAAGGTTGCAAATTGCAATATGTCATGTTCTGGTGTGTGTGGACATGTTCTATGGATGGGTAGAAGCTTGGCCTGTTGCCAATGCCACTGCTTCAGTCACTGCCAAAAAGCTATTGCAGGACATTCTGTGTAGATATGGCCTGTTAGAAACAGTGTAGTCAAACTGTGGAAGTAATTTCACTGTTCACGTTATGACAGGTTATAGAGAGCCTCCAGACTGAACAGAAGTTCCACACACCATATCATCCTCAATCTTTTGGGAAGGTTGAGAGGTACAATGGAATAATAAAAATAGTTTGGCTAAAATATTACTTGGGTACAGGTCCTTCTGCTTATGTTAAAGACAATCAGACACCACCTAGAGGGGCAAAGAAAATGTCCCCTATTAAAATATTATTTGGTAAAGCCTTTATGATTGGGTTGTTCTTCCACAATAGATGACATTGATACACTGGTTATTGAAAATGTATGTACATGAGTTACTTAAACAGTTTAATAAGTTACGTGTCCAAGTTTTCTCTTCTATTCCAGATCTTGACTCTGAAGCTAGGTCACACCCCTTACAGTCTGGAGATTGGGTAGTGGTTAAGAGGTTCCAAAGGAAAGAATTGGAACCCAGATGCAATGATCCTTATCAGGTTTTGATGAAAATTTAAATATCTGTATAGCTTAAAGAAAAAAATCTGAATTTATGTCTCACAAGAATGTGTAGGGGACCTTGAGAGATGGGACTGCTTTCCCAGTTGTTTATTTAACCAGTTGGCATGTGCTTTTATTCTCCAGGGAAACCTTAGACTCCAAGAAGCCAATACACATTAATGTTGGACTCAAAAGAATAACCCCGCTGTCTTTTGCAAATTTCAGCCCATGGACTCCCCCTAAAAGTTATGGTATATGGGAAAAGACCCAAAGGTTGGGATCTTTCACAGACTCATAGAGTGGGATGCAGGAAGGGAAAACTACCTCCTAGATATCCTATGCTTTTCCATAGGAAGGTTTATGTTCATAATATATTAGGTGCAAATTTTGATGGGAACATAAATGTAAATGTTACACATACTGAACCTCCTTTTGAGCTACCTACAGAATATGTATTATTGGAACATTTTTGTGATATAGCATATAGTAGATTTGATCCATATTACTGAGAATATTTGAAGTAAAATTAAAGGGTAAGTCTGAAGTTATTCTATTTGTTACCTATGAGTTGGCTGAGACCATCCCTGTCCATGAGGAGGGTAACAACCCTGGAGACACGATGTGCCACATACATAGTATATTTCCTGATATAACAAGTAATGTCATACCCAAAGAGAGAGTTTCATGGGTACTGACACAGTAATTTAGCTGCCTGTGAGCGTGAGTCCTATTCAACTGTAAGATCCATTTTTGATAATGCGAAAAGAGGTGAATTGTGAGAAAATTGTGTAATGCAGTATGTTATTTACATTACCAACAATGTAGGAGAAATGGGACAACACAGAAGGTATTACTATGATATCTCTGAAGTTGTGTCAGGATCCTTAGTGAATAAGTGTGTTGATCCTCTAGATGGTCTTCATGAAATTTTGATTACTATAAGTCCCAAATATATGGCCACTACCCGCCACTTTGCCTCCCTGTACCAAAAAAAAGGTAATTTTGCTACTAAATTGTAGCCTAACACATCAAGGTACTTGATCTGAAAAATCACAGAAGGTTGAATAAGTATGCATAAAAATGCATTCTGAAGGAGGAGTTTCAATACAAATATACCTGTTATGAATAATATATGTACCCCTGAGGTAGAGGGACATTTTGTTAAGTGGCTTATTGGTATTCAAATCAATCTTTATACTTTAGAGGTTCAAATCCCTGGAACTGAGATGTCCTGTGCAATGGTATAGATCTACCTAGTGTGAATGAAGGAATGAATGGAGGGCCAATGAATGAAGGAATGAGAGTTGTGTTTTTGATTACCGAAAGGCAGGATCCACAATGATTTTACCTAGAGTTTATATTTAGATTAGCCTTTTACTTGGTCTTTTTGTGAGGTCACTGATAAAGGTTCTTGGACATTTAAACAGTCAATGTGTTTACATTGGAAAACTGATCTATCTGAATTCCTTAGGTTAACTGATTTCACTCTAGACTCAAAACATGGGCATACTTGGGAAGGATGAGGTAAAATCTGTGTTACTGTAGTATATGTGAAGCTCCCATAGCCTACGCAGCAGATCTGGTGGTCCTACAGTTATCACTACAATGGACAAAAAGCCAGTTTATACCATACACTTGTAGAGTTTATATGAATGATTTCAGGGTTGATCATTGGAATTAAAGCATATGATGCCTTTGTGAAAAGATAAGTCTGTATGTTAAAGGGATGGTTGGAGTTAGGTTATTCTAATAGGAGTGTAAAAAGGATGTTTTGGACCCTGTGTTGGGATTGGAAGGTGTGGATATGGGAGACCTGAATACTATGGATTTGCAAGTGTTAAAGAATAAATTAGGGGAGTCTAGCTCAACATATAGGGGAAGGAGTTAAAACCCAGTTAGTTATAAATCTTGTTCTAGAACAGCGGTTCTCAACCTGGGGGTCGCGACCCCTTCGGGGGGTCGAACGACGCTTCCACAGGGGTCGCCTAAGACCATCGGAAAACACATATTTCCGATGGTCTTAGGAACCGAGACACCACTCCTCGCCGCCGCCGCCGCCTCCAGGTGTGGGCGGGATGACATGCCGCCCCTGTCATCTGGACACACCTCGAGATCAATCCTCGCCTGTGATTGGCCGCCGGCACTGTAGCTCAGGAGAGGCACACAGGCGGCCAATCACCGGCAAGGAGGTGGAGCTTGGAGAGGAGGAGCCGAGCGGCACCGCGAAGATCGAGCGAGTGAAGAGGAGGAGAGCGGCCGGAGAAGGAAGACATCTGACAGGTAAGTGTCGTAACCATGGGAGAGGGAGGGAGCGAGCGAGCCCAGGCTGGAGCAGGGGTCTGCAAGGTAAGTATCATTGGTGTCAGTGGGAATAGTGCCCCATCATTGGTGTCACTAATACCAATGATGGGGCACTATTCCTCCCACTGACACCAACGATGGGACACTATTCCTCCCACTGACACCAACGATGGGGCACTATTCCTCCCACTGACACCAACGACGGGGCACTATTCCTCCCCCAAATGACACCAAGGACGGGGCACTATTCCTCCCCCACTGACACCAAGGACGGGGCACGATTC